ATACCGTATTTCGGGGAAGTCGTTGATATGTCAATATCAATAAGCCACCAAAAAAATAAAAAGTAACCTGACTCTGACTACCAACCCCTCACTGAAGAAAAATAAATGAAATATGACATGTTCACATAGAAATAAAAATACAACTAACTTTATTGGTAAACGCATAAGCAAAAAATTTTAATCTTGACTAAAAGTCAACAAAAACTACTGGGAAAACATCCAATATGTGTAAACAAGTACTCTAGAAAGGATGATAATAAGTCCACTTATAAACCAATGTCCATGTATATTAAACTAAAGGACTCCATAGTAATGGACACAATATAGAGCATCAGCCTTTTATAGCAGGGGTCTGCCACATCCATATTCACATGGGAGACACTTAATCCATGCTCCATAATGTATGCAAATAAACAGGCTCCAGCAGTAATGTTACAAAGTCCCATATGGAGTTAGAACTAGGTCTAAGATATAGACATTAAGCCATCAGGCCACCGCCAATATACTGTATATAGTACCCTGTGTGCTAAAGTGATCCAGCAATGTATTCTCTCATATAACTTTTAAAGGCTCCACAAGTATATATACTGGTACATAGAAATAGTCCACACATGAAAGAAATTTTTCAGGGTGGGTCATAGCCCAGATAACCATGCAAATAACCACAACACAGGGACATCGGCCTTTTGGCTAAGATCAAGTGTGTAGTATCGACCTTGCCTTTAGGGGTGTCCCTGCTTCCAGCTAGGACGTTGAGAACCACTTGAATCTATCCCAGCCATTTGGTCTGTGTGGGGTACCCTCTTCTCGGCCTTGTAGGATCGTCGATTAAAATTCGGCTTCACCTGCTTGCTGCTATTGGGTTTGAGGCTTAGCCCCCACACAGAACGAGTTTGTGATCTTCCCCCCCCTTGTTCACTCTGCGTTACTACCTCCGGCAGTAGACGCTCAATAGCCTTTTCAAAGGCTAAGCAAGAGTGAAGCCGCCGAGGAAGAAGAAGGAGAAGGAATCCGACCAAGATCTCTGGGAAGCCCTCCTGAGAACTCCTCTGCGACAAGATGGGGAAGAAGCAGACTGCGAAGAAGCCACAGAATGCCGCCCCTGCCAAGACCCCGGGAGAAGCCCCCCATCCGCCTCCACCTCCACCTCAGATCGCCCCGGCCCTGCAGACGGTCTCTCCCTCCACTGGAGCCCTGGATGAAGCAGACAGTCGTGCTGCGGCTGAAAGAGGTGGAAGGCAGAATCCCGGACATGACCCCGGAAGTCTTTGGGAAGAAAATGATCCTTGAACAAGGATTCAGCAAGGCAGAGACCCTGTCGGTGCAGTCCTTTGTGAGAGGTATGTTCCTTGTCACTTTCGTCTCCCTACACAGGTATGCAGAAGGTACTGGGAGGCAGTGAAGACCTCTGGACCCGACTCCCTCTTCCGAAAGTTCACTGCGAACTCTCCCATTCAAAGGGACGAAAGGCGGATCACGGTGTCCATGAGGAACCCTCACGTCCCTGGTAGAGACATCGCCACCTACCTCCAAAGGTTTTGCATCGTGTTAAAGGACCCCAGTCCGGATACTAGACGCCAACGGCTTCTGGACAGGTAAGTGGGCTGTGTTTTGCAGGCTACTAAGGGATCGTCCCGCTGGAGATCTCCAACACCTGCAACAGTGCTTCTCCCTGGGATCGTCAACAGGTCTCCTACACTACCCGGACCAACCCCAGTCATGCCGCAAGTGCGGCCAGCCGGGGCACGAGGGTAAGGAATGCAATGTGCTTTCTTGTAGGTTCTGTAGGTCTGCAGGTCACGAGACCAAGGATTGCCCGAGGTCCAGAACCTGCAACCTCTGTGGACAGGCAGAGCACGTCTACAGAGACTGCCCAGAAAGAAGCAGGACGTACGCTGGGGCCCTGAGCAAGGGTCCTGCCACCAAACCAGCGCCACAGAAACCTCCAAAGGACCCGGGTAAGAGGAACCCCCCCCCAGGCCCCAGGTCCCCCTGCCCCTGGTCCCCCTGCCCCCCCCTGGCCCCCCTGCCCCTGGTCCCCCTGTCCCCTGGCCCCCCTGGCCCCCCCTGCCCCTGGCCCCCCTGCCCCTGGTCCCCCCTGCCCCTGGTCCCCCTGCCCCTGCCCCTGGTCCCCCTGCCCTGACCCACCTGCCCCGGGCCCCCCTGGCCCCCTGGCCCCCCTGCCCCTGGTCCCCTCGCCCCCTGGTCCCCCTGCCCCTGTTCCCCCTGCCCCGGGCCCAGTCCCACCCCCCCCTGACCTGTCCTCACAGGAGGACTTCCCGCCCCTTCCCCCTGTCACCCCTGTCAGCAACTCTGCGACGGGGTTAATACAGAAGCGGAAGAAGGAGCAGCCAGCCCGGCGGGGGAGGACCCCTCCTCTGCCACCAAGCGGCCTGCCGTCCTCCAGAATGTCCCGACCCCGTGGGGGAAGACCTCGACCCACGCTGGAGGAAGAAGAGGTGGAAGAAGAGATGGCTCTGACCCAGTCGGACCCAGATCTCTCCACCGACTTCGATGAGGTCCTCAACGAGGTCCTCAATCAGATTGGTCTGGGCCAGGACATTTGTCAGGCTGCAGAAGTCACAGAGGTCGCCCCCCCTCTCCAGGGGAGGTAAGCACAGCCCCTGCCGACTAACCCCTTCATCTCTTTCCCATGATGGCTGAGATATCTATCTTTTCCATTAATGTGAGGAGCGTCAAGGATGTGTCTAGGAGGCAGACTGTGCTGACCTTTCTTTCCACACAGCAGAGTGATGTGTACATGCTTCAGGAGTGCGCACTTCCCCCTCTGAGGAGGTACACTCATTTGTCCTCCCAGTGGACCCACGGTCCCTCCTACTGGTCTGGGGGTGGCGATTGCAAGTCCGCAGGGGTTGCGGTTTTCTTATCAGGGGAGGACGTTTCACTGTTGACTCCGTCCATGAGCTCGTCTGTGGCCGCCTTCTGGTCATAGACGGTTCGTGGGCGGGGGAGCCCGTTAGGCTCATCAACGTGTACGCCCCCCCCGGAAAAGAACGCGCGGCTGGAACTTTTCCAAACCCTGCGGACGCAACTCGCCACAACAACGAGAACAGTAGTAATCGGCGGTGATTTTAACTGTCCGATAGAGGAGGATGGGCGCAGCTCCAGCATGTACGCAAAACTCGACGCCACCTCGAAGCTGCTCCGGGAGATGATTGCGGAGGCTTCCCTGCGAGACGCAGTGGGATCCGTGGGGCGCGGTTTCCGTGAACTACTCATGGAGCCGCCCCGATGGATCTGTGCGCTCCAGGATTGACTTTGTGCTCACCCTCCAGGGCAGTCAGGCACCGCGGGTTCTCCATGGTTCCCTGCTTTTTCTCTGACCACAGGGCCATTCCCTTTCAAGGTGATCTGGGAGAGGGCTTTGCCCCGGCCCAGGCTCCTGGAAGCTGAATTGCACCCCTGCTGGACGATGAGGAACTGCTAGAGGAGCTCAGGGAAACCTACGGTGCCTGGCGAGAGGAGAAGTCTTTCTTTCCTAAGGTAAGCGACTGGTGGGAGTTCGTGAAAGTCAAGCTGCGCAGCTTCTTTCAGGCCAGGGGACGCCAGCAAGTGTGTGCCAGGAGGAAGGAACTCAGGAGGCTGCAGCGTCAGCTGCATGCAGTCCCTGCAGGATCTTCATCACTGTGGCTGGGACGTGAGGCAAGACCTGGAGGACACCAAGAAGTGCTTGAAAAAGCACTTTGAGGAAGAATCCAGGCACATTGTCTTCCGTGCCAAGGTGGAGCATCTCGAGAAAGGTGAGAAGTGTAACTCTTTCTTTTTCAGGAAACTCCACTCAGGACACACACCCCTGTCGGAACTGCGCGACAAGACTGGAACGCTCCAGAAGGGGAAGGAGTGTTAGGAATGGACTGGCCAGCAATGGTGGGACTCACCTGCCTTTTGATCTGCAGTACCAGGGCTGGCCAGCGGGTGCTCCAGCAATCAGAGACTCAACCTTTCAGCCAGCTAACACCTGGAACTGATGATGCTGGGGTATTTAAGGGATGGCCAGACCCACAGACTCTGCCTTGGTGTTGTGTTTCTCTTGGGCCCTGTATCCTGTTCCTGCTCTCTGTTCCTGTCTGATTCTCTGCTACCTGTCCTGATCCCTGGCTTGTGACCCTGACCATCCCTGTGCTTGACCCTCTGTACTACGCTGCTTGCTCCCCCTGTACCTACCTGCCCAATTGATATTGACCCGGCCTGCCTGACGACGCTTGCTTGTATATACTGTTATCTGTGGGTGGTTGGTTTGGTTTGTTTGCACTGTGTTATGTTTTAGTATTGCACTGCGTTTATGTTTGTATTGTTAGTGTTAATAAATTGTATTGTTTATCACATATCTGAAGTCTGCGTTTCCCTGCATCAGTCACACACCTCTGGTCATACCTGGGAGCCCTGACATTACACCAAGGCCAATCCTGACCAGAAGTGGCTGCACAGGGAAGCCATCTTGGCTTGTTGTTGATGGGAAGGATGGATCTGGATGAGGTTGAATATTTATATCTGCTAGTGTTTGATGACAGGGAGTATGCTTATCAGACTCTGAAGGAGTATACCCGGGATGAACTGCTAGAATGTATACGGCTCGCTCATGTTCTAGTAGATCAGGGCACAGAGTTCTCTGAGGTGCAGCCTTTGATTGAAGTTTGTGCTGAGTTGGTTTCATCTGGTTCCCCGAATGCAGGGATGAATTTTTGCCACCATTTAGTGCAGACCAGGTAGAGTCCCTGGTGTGGTTATTAGAGGATGATGTGGGTTACTTTCTGGAGCGTTATTCCACATGTTCACCACAGACACTAAGAGATTGTATAAACGCAGTACAGTCATTGACCAGACAGGCTTTGTGTAAGCTCAGCTTTGTTCAACCCATACTGCAGACATGGACAGATTTGTTGCACCCAGCCTCAGTCAGCTTACAAAGACCCAGTCCTGCTTCTAATCTATTTCCTCAAAACTCTATTCCTGCATTCCCAACAGCTCCTCCTGCCCTGCTATCTACCGCATGTCAGTACCCTGTTCCCACTCGCTGCACCTATCCTGCCTTTAACCCTGTAAAAGAGCCCTCTGTAGCAACCGCTCCCTCTCCTGTTCCATCCTCCAGTTCTTCTCTGTCTCCAGCTGCTCCATTCGTTTGCAGACCTGCGTTTACTTGCAGTGCTCCAGTAGTTAAAACCAGAAAAAAGCGAAAATTCTTTCCAACCAATACCATCCTGCCAGTATCCAAACCGGTGAGCCTGCCTTCCGTGGTTCAGCCTGAAGCCTCTCTTCAGCCTAATGCCGGTACGCAGCCTGATGCCTCTCTTCAGCCTGATGCCTCTACTCGGACCTGAAGCCTCTACTCGGCCTGATGCCTCTACTCGGCCTGATGCCTCTACTCGGCCTGATGCCTCTACTCGGCCTGAAGCCTCTACTCGGCCTGATGCCCTCTACTCGGCCTGATGCCTCTACTCGGCCTGAAGCCTCTACTCGGCCTGAAGCCTCTACTCGGCCTGAAGCCTCTACTTGGCCTGATGCCTCTGACCCCCAGCATGATGAACTGATCCAGCCTGACGATCCTATTAGGCCAGTTGACTCGATGCCCGCTGTTGATCCAGATGATCCGGTACCTGATCCGGTGCCCGCTGTCGAGCCAAATGACCTGATGCCTGGTGACCCAGTGCCCGCTGTCATACCTGGTGACCCGATGCCCGCTGTCGAGCCAGACAATCCGGTACCTGATGACCCGGTGCTCACTGTCGTGCCTGTTGACTCGGAGCCCACTGCCTTGCCAGATGACGCGGTGCCCGCTGTCAAGCCAAATGACCTGATGCACTGAGTGAAGAATCCAGCACATTGTCTTCCGATCCAAGGTGGAGCATCTCGAGAAAGGTGAGAAGTGTAACTCTTTCTTTTTCAGTTGACTCAGGACACCACTGCCTTGTCCAGACTGACGCGGTGCCCGACTGTCGAGCTCAGAAGGGGAAGGAGTGATGCCTGGTGACCCCAATGGTGGGACTCACCTGCCTGTCCATCTCAGACATCCAATGGCTGGCCCCAGTGCCCCAGCAATCAGAGACTCAACCTTTGACAGCCAGCTAACCCACTGCCTGATGATGCGGGTATTTAAGGGATGGCCAGACCCACAGACTCTGCCTTGGTGTTGCCCGCTGTCCAGTTCTTGGGCCCAATGTCTGTATCCTGTTCCCATGCTCTCTGTTCCTGTCTGATTCTCTGCTACCCTGTCCACTGATCCCTGGCTGTGTGACCCCTGACCATCCCTGGCCCTGTGGTCCTGGTGCTTGACCTCTGTACCTACGCTGCTTGCTCCCCCTGTGTACCTACCTGCCCAATTGATATTGACCCGGCCTGCCCAGACGACGCTTGCTTGTATATACTGTACTCCACTGTTGACTGTGGGTGGGCTGGTTTGGTTTTTTGTCCGCACTGTGTTATGTTTAGTATTGCACTGCGTTTCTGTTTGTTGTATGTTAGATAGTGTTAATAAATTGTATTGTTTATCACATATCTGAAGTCCTGGCCATGCCCGAGCATCAGTCACACACCTCTGGTCATACCCTGGGAGCCCTGACATTACACCAAGGCCAAAGTCCAAGAAAGTCGCTCCACCAGAAGGGGCTGCACAGGGAAGCCATCTTGGCTTGTTGATGGGAAGGATGGATCTGGATGAGGTTGAATATTTATATCTGCTGCTGTGTTTGATGACAGGGAGTATGCTTATCAGGTCTGAAGCCGGAGTATACCCGGGATGAACTGCTAGAATGTATACGGCTCGCTCATGTTCTAGTAGGGTCAGGGCACAGAGTTCTCCTGATGCTGAGGTGCAGCCTTTGATTGAAGTTTGTGCTTGGTTTCATCTGGTTCCCCCGAATGCAGGGATGAATTTTTCGCCACCTCATTTAGTGCAGACCAGGTAGAGTCCCTGGTGTGGTTATTAGAGGATGATGTGGGTTACTTTCTGGAGCGTTATTCCACATGTTCACCACACAGACACTAAGAGATTGTATAAACCAGTGCAGTCATTGACCAGACAGGCTTTGTGTAAGCTCAGCTTTGTTCAACCCTGGGGGCTGCAGACCATGTCGACAGATTTGTTGCACGGCCAGCCTCCTCAGTCAGCTTGAAAGACCCGAGTCCTGCTTCTAATCTATTTCCCTCCTGAAAACTCTATTCCTGCATTCCCAACAGCTCCTCCTGCCCTGCTATCTACCGCATGTCAGTACCCTGTTCCCACTCGCTGCACCTATCCTGCCTTTAACCCTGTAAAAGAGCCCTCTGTAGCAACCGCCTCCCTCCCTCTCCTGTTCTCCTCCAGTTCTTCTCTGTCTCCAGCTGCTCCATTCGTTTGCAGACCTGCGTTTACTTGCAGTGCTCCAGTAGTTAAAACCAGAGAAAAAGCGAAAATTCTTTCCAACCAATACCATCCTGCCAGTATCCCAAACCGCCTGAGCCTGCCTTCCGTGGTTCAGCCCCGCCTCTCTTCAGCCTAATGCCGGTACGCAGCCTGATGCCTCTTCTCAGCCTGATGCCTCCTACTCGGCCTGAAGCCTCGCCCGCCTGATGCCTCTACTCGGCCTGATGCCTCTACCTGAGCCTGATCACGCCTCTACTTACGGCCTGATGCCTCTACTCTCGGCCTGAAGCCTCTACTCGGCCTGATGCCTCTACTCGGCCTGATGCCTCTACTCGGCCTGAAGCCTCTACTCGGCCTGAAGCCTCTACTCGGCCCTGAAGCCTCTACTCGGCCCTGATGCCTCTACCCAGCATGATGAACTGATCCAGCCTGACGATCCTATTAGGCGCAGTTGACTCGATGCCCGCTGTTGATCCAGATGATCCGGTACCTGATGATCCGGTGCCCGCTGTCGAGTGGCCAAAAATGACCTGATGCCTGGTGACCCCAGTGCCCGCTGTCATACCTGGTGACCCGATGCCCGCTGTCTCCTCAGCCAGACAATCCGGTACCTGATGACCCGGTGCTCACTGTCGTGCCTGTTGACTCGGAGCCACTGCCTTGCCAGATGACGCGGTGCCCGCTGTCAAGCCAAATGACCTGATGCCTGGTGACCCAGTGCCCGCTGTCCAGCCAGACGATCCAATGGTCTGACCCAGTGCCCGCGGTCATACCAGTTGACTCGGAGCCCCACTGCCTTGCCAGATGACGCGGTGCCCGCTGTCGAGCCAAATGACCTGATGCCTGGTGACCCGATGCCCCGGCTGTCCAGCCAGACGATCCAATGTCTGACCCAGTGCCAGCGGTCATCCCAGTTGACTCGGAGCCCACGGTTGTGCCTGGTGACTCGGTGCCCCCGCCGCGCCCCGCCTGGGGGCCTGAGACCTGTCGTTCCGCCTGGGGGTCCGGCACCCACCACTCCGCCCTGAGGGTCCGAGACCTGTCGCTCCGCCTGGGGGTCCGGCGCCCGCCGCTCCGCTGAGGGCCCGAGACCTGTCGCTCCGCCTGGGGGTCCGGCGCCCGCCTCCGCCTGAGGGCCCGAGACCTGTCGCTCCGCCTGGGGGTCCGGCGCCCGCCGCTCCGCCTGAGGGCCCGAGAGGGTCCTCGCTCCACCCTGGGGGTCCGGCGCCCGCCGCTTCGCTCCGCTTGAGGGCCCGAGACCTGTCGCTCCCGCCTGGGGGTCCGGCGCCCGCCCGCCGCTCCGCCTGAGGGCCCGAGACCTGTCGCTCCGCCTGGGGGTCCGGCGCCCGCCGCTCGCCCGCCTGAGGGCCCGAGACCTGTCGCTCCGCCTGGGGGGTCCGGCGCCCGCCGCTCCGCCTGAGGGCCCCGAGACCTGTCGCTCCATCTGGGGGTCCGGCGCCCGCCGCTCCCGCCTGAGGGCCCGAGACCTGTCGCTCCTCCTGGGGGTCCGGCGCCCGCCGCTCCGCCTGAGGGCCCGAGACCTGTCGCTCCGCCTGGGGGTCCGGCGCCCGCCGCTCCGCCTGAGGGCCCGAGACCTGTCGCTCCATCTGGGGGTCCGGCGCCCGCCGCTCCGCCTGAGGGCCCGAGACCTGTCGCTCCGCCTGGGGGTCCGGCGCCCGCCGCCCCGCCTGGGGGCCCGATGCCTGTCGCCCCGCCTGGGGGCACGATGCCCGTCGCCCCGCCTGGGGGCCCGATGCCTGTCGCTCCGCCTGGGGGGCACGATCCCCGTCGCCCCGCCTGGGGGCCGATCCTGTCGCCCCGCCTGGGGGCCGATGCCTGTCGCCCCCGATGCCTGTCGCCCCGCCTGGGGGCACGATGCCTGTCGCCCCGCCTGGGGGCCGATGCCTGTCGCCCCGCCTGGGGGCACGATGCCTGTCGCCCCGCCTGGGGGCACGATGCCTGTCGCCCCGCCTGGGGGCACGATGCCTGTCGCCCCGCCTGGGGGCCCGATGCCTGTCGCCCCCCGCCTGGGGGCCCGATGCCTGTCGCCCCGCCCTGGGGGCCCGATGCCTGTCGCCCCGCCCGGGGGCCCGGTGCCTGCCGCTCCGCCCGGGGGCCCCGTGCCTGCCGCTCCGCCCGGGGGCCCGGTGCCTGCCGCTCCCGCCCGGGGGCCCGGTGCCTGCCGCCCCGCCCGGGGGCCCGGTGCCTGCCGCTCCGCCCGGGGGCCCGATGGTGCCTGCCGCTCCGCCCGGGGGCCCGGGTGCCTGCTGCTCCGCCCGGGGGCCCGGTGCCTGCTGCTCCGCCTGGTGGCCCGCTGCCTGCTGCTTTGCCTGGTAAATCCGATGTGCCTCTGCCCGGAGTCCTGCCCGATGTGCCTCTGCCCGGAGTCCTGCCCGATGTGCCTCTGCCCGGAGTCCTGCCCGATGTGCCTCTGCCCGGAGTCCTGCCTGATGTGCCTCTGCCCGATGTGCCTCTGCCTGGAGTGCCTCTGCCCGATGTGCCTCTGCCCGGAGGTGTGCCTCTGCCCGATGTGCCTCTGCCCGGAGTCCTGCCCGATGTGCCTCTGCCCAGATGTGCCTCTGCCCGGTGTGCCTCTGCTCGATGTGCCTCTGCCCGGAGTCCAGCCCGGTGTGCCTCTGCCCGGAGTCCAGCCCGGTGTGCCGCTGCCCGGAGTCCTGCCCGGTGTGCCAGTCTTTGATATCCCGCCAGTTACCAGACCCGGGCGGTGGAACATTTTGCCCAGCTAGGACTGTTTGGAGCGTCCTGAGGCCGCTCCTTGGGGGGGGGGTACTGTTAGGAATGGACTGGCCAGCAATGGTGGGACTCACCTGCCTTTTGATCTGCAGTACCAGGGCTGGCCAGCGGGTGCTCCCAGCAATCAGAGACTCAACCTTTCAGCCAGCGGGATGGCCAGACCCACAGACTCTGCCTTGGTGTTGTGTTTCTCTTGGGCCCTGTATCCTGTTCCTGCTCTCTGTTCCTGTCTGATTCTCTGCTACCTGTCCTGATCCCTGGCTTGTGACCCTGACCATCCCTCTGCTTGACCCCTCCTGTACCCCGACGCTGCTTGCTCCCCCTGTACCTACCTGCCCAATTGATATTGACCCGGCCTGCCTGACGACGCTTGCTTGTATATACTGTTATCTGTGGGTGGTTGGTTTGGTTTGTTTGCACTGTGTTATGTTTTAGTATTGCACTGCGTTTATGTTTGTATTGTTAGTGTTAATAAATTGTATTGTTTATCACATATCTGAAGTCTGCGTTTCCCTGCATCAGTCACACACCTCTGGTCATACCTGGGAGCCCTGACAAGGAGGCCGTGATGGAAGTGGTCAGCGACTACTACTCCGACCTCTACTCCCCAAAGAAACAAACTCGGAAGCGGCCGACAGGTTCATGTCCCCAGGTATCTCTAACGCTATTGATCCTGCAGGTTCGTCGGCCACCAACGCCCCCTTGACGTTGGAGGAACTGCACTCTGCCGCTAAATCCTTTAGGCAAGGCAGGACCCCGGGCTGCGACGGTCTCCCAGCGGAGCTCTATGTAGCGCTGTGGGACCTCGTGGGCCCGGACCTGCTCGAGCTGTACGAGGAGATGGTGGTGGAGGGCAAGATGCCTCCTTCGTTGAGGGAGGGGATGATCACGATCCTGTACAAGCGTAAGGGGAGAGATGTGATTTGAAAAATTGGCGTCCCATCTCTCTCCTGAACGTGGACTACAAGATCCTCGCCAAAGTCATGGCGAACAGGCTGAAGGCTGTCATCGGACAGATCATCAACCGGATCAGACTTGTGGCATTCCTGGCCGCAGGATTGCGGACAGCTAGCGCTTGTCCGGGACCAAAAAACGCCACAACGGTCCAATACATCAAGGACCGCCGTGTGCACGCGGCCCTGGTCAGTTCTTCTTGATCAGGAAAAGGCCATTTGACCGTGTCTCCCATGGGTTTATGTGCAGAGCCCTGCGCAGGTTTGGTCTCGGGGAAAATGTTTTGTTCATATGTTGACATCATGTATAATGACATTGTAGTTCCGTGCAGGTGAACGGCTGGAAGACTGACCCCTTCCCGGTCCTCTCCGGGGTCAGACAAGGCTGTCCTCTCTCACCTCTGCTTTTTGTTTGCTGTAAGAGCTCTTCGCCGAATGCATCAGACGGAATCCAGAGATCGGGGGAATCACCGCACCGGGACCAGACAGACGGGAAGTGAAGTGCTCGCTCTACATGGACGACGTGACGTGTTTCTGTGCCAACCAGCGCTCCATCGACCTGCTCGTCCAGACCTGCGAGGACTTCGGCCAAGCATCGGGGGCAAAGGTCAACTGCGGGAAGTCGGAAGTCATGCTCTTCGGAAAGTGGTTCCTGCCTTCTTCTGCATCCATGCCCTTTGGCATCAAGACAGACTTCATGAAGGTTTTGGGAGTTTGGTTTGGTGCCGAGAGGGCGCAGCCCTGAAGTCTTGGGAGGAGAGACTGGCCAAGATGCGCCAAAAGTTTGACTCTGGAGCCTCAGAGACCTCACCATCGAAGGGAAGACACTGGTACTCCGCAGCGAGATTCTTCCTGTGTTGCAGTACCCTCGCCCAGGCCTGGCCCCCTCGGGTCAACACCTGCAAGGCCATCACCAGGGCGGTGTTTTCACTTCATCTGGGGCTCCAAGATGGACAGAGTGAAGCGGGCAGTCATGTTCAAGGAACCCCCTCAAGGGCGGTAAGGGCGTGCCGACATCGCCACCCAGCTGAGGGTGTTCTTTGCTTGCAAAAACTGCATCCGCAGAACTTTTGCCAAGACGGACTATGGACTCTGGCGTGGAACGCAATGTCTCGCTTCTTCCTGTTGCCTCTCTGGAGGTCCCTGGGGTGGGACACCTGGGATAGTTCCATCCCCTACAACTGGGACACTCCTTGTACTACTTGGACACCTTCAAGTTCATCAGGGAGCAAGGGCTGCAGGGAGTCAAGCCTGACTTGTGGAAGCCAAAGACTATCTACAAGCTCATCCGAGCCAGCGACATTTTGGAGTCGGTTCCAGGCCTGCCTTCAGGACACCTGCAAGGTGGTCTGGAGGAATGTTTCTTCCAACATTCTTACCAACAGGCACAAAGACCTGGCATGGATGGCAATCCAAGGGGGGTTGCCTCTCAGGACATTTATGCATGCCAGGAACCTGAGCAGATACAGACACTGCCCCTTCTGCTCATCCATGAGGAACGTCTTACCACGTTTTCTGGGAGTGCTCATTTGCTCAGACCCTGTTGGGGGCCCTGGAACCTGAACTCAAGGACTTTGTGCCACAGACAGCCATCACTCACTTTGGGGTGTTGAATGGACTGTTCTGTGGAACTTTCTCTCTGGAGGACATTGACAGCGCCTGGAGGGTGCTGTGTTGCTTTAAGGACGCTTTATGGTGCGCCAGGAAGCGCCTCAACCACCATCGGGAGAGGATGTCCACTGAGGACGTGCCGCAGACTGATTCCTCATCTGCTCAGAGACT